AAGCTTATGTCTCTTCTTCTCTCCCTTCCTTTTCATTTTCCTATAAATTCTTAAGAAGAGCTGATCACGGGACAAGACAAGGCTGCCCACTCTCTCCCTACCTCTTCAACATAGTACTTGAAGTCCTAGCCAGAGCAATAAGACAACTAAAGGAGATCAAGGGGATACAAATCAGAAAGGAAGAGGTCAAAGTGTCACTATTCGCAGATGATATGATAGTATATATGAGCGACCCCAAGAATTCAACCAGAGAACTCCTCCAGTTGATAAACACCTTCAGCAAAGTGGCAGGATACAAAATCAACTCAAAGAAATCAGAAGCCCTCCTGTATACCAAAGACAAAATGGCCGAGAAAGAAATTAGGGAAGCAACACCCTTCACAATAGCCACTAACCACATAAAGTACCTTAGGGTGACACTAACCAAGCAAGTGAAAGACCTGCTTGAGAAAAACTTCAAGTCTCTGAAGAAAGAAATTGAAGAAGATCTCAGAAGATGGAAAGATCTCCCGTGCTCATGGATTGGTAGGATTAACATTGTGAAAATGGCCATCCTGCCAAAAGCAATCTACAGATTCAATACAATTCCCATCAAAATACCAACTCAATTCTTTACAGACCTTGAAAAAAAGATTCTCAGCTTCATATGGAAAAACAAAAAACCCAGAATCTCCAAAACAATCCTGTACAACAACAGATCATCTGGAGGTATCTCTATTCCCGATCTCCAGTTGTACTACAGAGCAATAGTAATAAAAACTGCATGGTATTGGCACAAAAACAGAAAGGAGGATCAATGGAACCGCATAGAAGACCCAGAAATAAACCCACACACCTATGAATACTCGATTTTTGACAAAGAAGCCAAAACCATTCAATGGAAAAAAAGACAGCATCTTCAACAAATGGTGCTGGTCCAACTGGATGTCTACATGCAGAAAAATGAAAATAGATCTCTATTTATCACCCTGCACAAAACTAAAGTCCAAGTGGATCAAAGATCTCAACATAAAACCAGATACTCTAAATCTGTTAGAAGAAAAAGTGGGGAACAGCCTAGAACTCATTGGCACAGGAGACAACTTCCTGAACAGAACACCAACAGCACAGGCTCTAAGAGCAACAATCAATAAATGGGACTTCATGAAACTGAAAAGCTTCTGTAAAGCAAAGGACACTGTCATCAAAACAAAACGCCTGCCTACAGATTGGGAAAGAATCTTCACTAACCCTTTATCTGACAGAGGACTAATATCGAGTATATACAAAGAGCTAAAGAAGCTGAAAAGCAGCAAACGAAGTAATCCAGTTAAAAAATGGGGAACAGAGCTAAACAGAGAATTCTCTGTAGAGGAATATCGAATGGCAGAGAAACACTTAAAGAAATGCTCATCCTCATTAGCCATCAGGGAAATGCAAATCAAAACGACCCTGAGATATCACCTTACACCCATCAGAATGGCCAAAATGAAAAACTCAAGGGACAACACATGCTGGAGAGGTTGTGGAGAAAGGGGAACCCTTCTCCACTGCTGGTGGAAATGTAAACTGGTACAACCACTCTGGAAATCTATCTGGCGCTTTCTAAGACAATTAGGAATAGTGCTTCCTCAAGACCCAGCTATACCACTGCTAGGTATATACCCAAAGTTGGCTCAAGTACACAAAAGGGATATTTGTTCAACCATGTTTATAGCAGCTTTATTTGTAATAGCCAGAACCTGGAAACAACCCAGATGTCCATCAACGGAGGAATGGGTACAGAAATTGTGGTATTTTTACACAATGGAATACTACTCAGCAATCAAAAAGGAGGAAATCATGAAATTTGCAGGCAAATGGTGGGACCTAGAAAAGATCATCCTGAGTGAAATATCCCAGAAGGAGAAAGACAAACACGGTATATACCCACTTATATAGACCTATAAGATATGATAAACATAATGAAATCTATACACCTAAAAAAGATAATCAAGAGAGCGGACATGGGGTAAGATTATCAATCCTCGTGAGCATTGAACATTGACAGGAGTCTACTGAGCGCATTTGAAAGACTCTAACTAGCAGTGTTTTCAAAGCAAAGACTCATGACCAAACCTTTGGCAGAGTACAGGGAATCATAAGAAAGAAGGGGAGTTAGTCTGATGAGGAAAGGATAGGAGCTCCACAAGGACCAAATATATCTGGGCACAGGGTCTTTTCTGAGACTGACATGTAACCAAGGACCATGTATGAATGTAACCTAGAACCCCTGCTCAGATGTAGCCTGTGGTAGCTCAGTAACCAATTGGTTTCCCATAGTGAGGGGAACAAGGACTATTTCTAACAGGAACTCAATGACTGGCTCTTTGGCCTCCCCACCCCCCAAGGGAGGAGCAGTCCTGTTAGGCCACAGAGGAGAGCTTTGCAGCCAGTCCTGAAGATACCTGATAAAACAGGATCAGATGAATGGGGAGGAGGTCCTCGCTATCAGTGGACTTGGCAAGGGGTATGGTGGAGATGAGGGAGGGAGGGAGGGACTGGGAGGGAATGAGGGATCGGGACACGGCTGGGGTACAGAGTTAATAAAATGTAACTGATAAGAAAAAAATAAAATTCAAAAAAAAAAAAAAAAGAAAAGAAATGAAACCACAGAGACATAATCAAAATGGAGACTTGGAGGCAAAATGGTTTCTGATATACTAAAGGCTACAGCAGGTGTTAACAGCGGAGCCATAGCTAAGCCAAGAAATACAGTAGGTCTCAATAGGGAGACTAAAGAATTTAAGCAGGTTACAACAAAATAATGGAATATAAAATAACTGAAAAATAATCTGTCTAAATATTGTTTCTATAATGAAATCTGTATTTATTATCTATTTTTCTTTTTCTTTTCTTTTCCATTTTTTTTCCATTTCAGGTATTAAAACATGGGAACTTATCAAAATATTTGATAAAAGAACAGATCTTAAACATGACAGACATAAATGTTGCTAACTTAAGATTGATAAGTGACCATTTTGTGTAGTGTGAAAAAATAAGTATTGTAGAAGGAAATAAAACAAAAAAAAATTATTAGTATCAAAAAAAAAAAAAAGAAGAGCTGATCACATAATGAATACCCTGTGAAGTGGTGCCTTTTAAAGGATATTATTGGAGACAAAAAAATTTACAAAGGGAGAATGATTTTAAAAATTAAACGAGAACTTTTTTTTTAAGAATATTAGAGTTTCTGATGGATTTGTTCATCTTTGTTTGCCTAATTTGACTTTGCAGGCTTGATAGCTATTAAACTTTCAGGAAAGCTTAACGTGTGGAGAAGTAACCACTAAGAATTGTAATGGCATCGGCCCAGTACTCAATGAGCTGGTCCTTCATTAAATGAGGACTGTCAAATGCTACCCTCTGCCTTTCAAAGAATTGTGAAATTAAAAACAAAATAAAACAAAACACAGTTAAGGCAGTTCAATTGGTGACTCACAACAAGACAACACATTATATGATGAGTAATGCAGCTTCAGCATAACTGGCAATAGAGGAGGAGGACGAAGAGGGGAGGAAGAGGGGAGCAAAGGGAGGAGAAAGGGGGAGTAAGTTGTAAAGAGGAGGAAAAGATGGAAGAGAAGGAAGAGGAGGGTAAAAGGAAGAGGAGGAAAGAAGTGGAAAAGGAGGGGGAAACAGAAGGAGGAGGGGGAGAGGAGGAAGGAAAGAATAGGAGAGAAAGTGAAGAAGAAAAAGAAGGGGAGGAGAAGGGAGGAAAGCTGATGACTACCCAATTGCCGTGTCCCTACAGAGCTAACAGCCAGGAAGACGAAGGGAAGAATGACTAAATTAGGCCTCATCACTAGCAACCTAGTGCCAAGTATTTATACTTCAAGGAGTGCTCTTGCTTCAGTGCTGATTCAGTGTGATTGGGTTTCATTTCTTGGTGAATTCTGCGGAGGGATAGGAGAAGGGGGTAAAGTGTTGAGAGGCTCTGTAGAAATAAGCTCTGCCCTAACAGGGCCTCCTGATCCATGGCTGAGCCAGCTCTGGACACGGGAGTAATTGGTTGTAGTTTCGTCCCACAGAAGCCCCATGAATTAGAAACAGTAATGAAGATTACCAGGTTCACAGATGAGGACGCTAAGGTGCACAGAGGTTAAATGATCTGCCTCAGGTTTAAACAGTTTTAAAAGATAAGAATCAGGGTCTGAAGCCAGGCAACCTGCCTTCAGATTTCCTGCCTTGATAAAGGAATGCTCGTCCTTATTGCCTGTTTTATTGTGATGTGTTGTTACACATTTTAGTTCATTTAGTTATTAGCTTTATTTAGTTCATTTAGCTAAGCAGCTGAAGATTCAGAGAAATTGGGTACAGCTGTCACATAATTGCTTCTCTCTCTCTCTCTCTCTCTCTCTCTCTCTCTGTGTGTGTGTGTGTGTGTGTGTGTGTGTGTGTGTGTGTGATATGTTAGATGGTGCTCACCCTTTCAGGTGCTTGTAGAAATCAGAGGTTGGGATATCTTCTTCAGTTCCTTCTTTATCCTATATTGAATCTAGAACTGGCTGTTTTGGTTAGACTGGCTAATGAGTCCCTAGGATCCACCCCTCTCTGTCCCCCAGCTTTTATATGGGTTCTAGGGATCTGAACTCAGGAGCCCATGCCTCCACAACAAGCACTCAGCATCTCCCCACCCCCACTTCCGTTTTAGTTACAACATGCTCACTGTAGCTGAAGTTCTGTGTAAAATATTAACAGACTGAAATATTCATCACTTTAGTCTCCCAAGTTATCTCAGGTTTCATGCAGTTTTACAGCTAATTTGAAATCCTCAGCATGTACTTATAGTTCTTTTTAAATGCCTTGTTGAAGACGAAAGAAAATACTAGAATCACTTATTTTCTGTTCCTGAAGAAAATTAAAACAAATTTTATTTTAGTCCCCTACCTCAGAGGGTTTGGAAAGGATTTTTGAGATTTACAAGTATAAAGTGTTTAGAAGTACCTGGCATGAACCATGTTTAAATGGTTTCTTTTCAGACGGAACATGTATTAAGGCAAACTTCTAATAAAGGTCTATCTTGTGGTACCAAAAGACAAGCCTGAGGTGATGATTCAAGTGCAGCTACTTTGGGAGAAGATCATGATTACAAGAAAGGAAAGAGACCCGGGAAAAGAGCATCCAAGAGGAATGCTATGGAGCCACAACTCCCAAACCATGTGAACCACGTAGACTAGACAGGCTGGATGGGAGCAGCCATTCATTCCTCTACGTCATTCCTCCTGTGGCTGTTCTGTGAGAGGTACCAAGCTTGCCTCCTGCCACCCTATCATATTGGAGGCGGAAGAGCTCAACAGCAAGAGAAGAAGTAGAAGCTGCTGCAAGAAGCCCAACCATATCAGGTAGCAAGCCAGGAGGCCTCTCCCCCCTCCCCACTGCTATCTTTCAAGCTAAGGAGCATCAGTGTTTGCATAAATGTTTCCATCCAAACAGCACGCACTCTTGGAAACAACAGCAAAAAGTTGGAATATCTAGATATGCGATGATTAGAACCCCTCAGCAAATTGCCTTGATGCCTTTGTTCCGACGCGTGGACTGTAACCCTCTCACACTGAAGGCCAAATTAAACATGTTCTTTCATAAGTTGCCTTGACTGTGGTGTTTTGCCACAGCCATAGAAAATTAACTAATACACTATCTTAGTTTGATTCCAGAACTCATGGTGGAAAGAGTACTAACTGCCAAACGTTGCCCTATGACAGCCACACTTACGCTGTGGCTTCCCCCCATCCCCATATTATATATACACAGTAATAACAAATTAAAAAGCCAAAGAGAAAGTTGAGAGTAATAAAGGAAGATTCTTGATTTCAATCCCTGGCACCCACATATATCTATGTATGCACAGAAACATGCAACCTTTTCCACACATATATGCACAAACACACACCATATATATTTATTATTTGTATTTATATACTTATTATTGTTTCTGAAATGTCCTCAACTCACTGTTAACTTTCAATTTCTAACAGTGACTATTCTCCTCATATTGGGAGCAAAAGCATGCAAGAAAGTACTACTGTTCTCCTCAAAAAAAGTTAAAGGTAGGAAATTATTTGCTCAAATAAGTGTGTGTTTTTTTAATCCTCTTGTTGAATGCTGGTGAGATTTCTTGGAAGAAGGGGTGGGTTAAGGGTTTGATTTATATTCATGCACTTTGAAATTGGTCTCTCCCCTGAAACTAGATCTCTGTGTGCATGCAGCCAGAAGAAAGGCTCATATTACTCATAGGAAACACTGGGTATTAAAAAAATAAACAATAAGCATAGCATTCTCCTCATGAACATCCTGAAAGACAGGGTGCTAAGGAGAGGATGGAAAATATCTTCCCTATGGTTTTCATGAAACCCTGAAGAGAAATGCTGACCAAACGCTGAGAAGTTGAGAGGATGCTGTCATGTTTTCATTGGGCCTCACCTTCAGGTTGTGTGTTCCTGTGTCAATGTGTGGATGTGTATGAGGGGAAAGGATTGCCACCATGACTTCTGAAGGGTTGTAACTAGATTCTTGTTTAGTTCCCTTGTATATCTTTAGAGAGAAAAACCACTAAGGTATAAAATATATGAACAGAGATGGCATGGAACAGAAAAGCAAAGGATGGCACCGAATGGTTTCATTAAACCATCCTTTTCCAGATAGCGTGCTTTCCTGTACAAGCTTTCCTGAAGCACAGCACGTGTGTACTACTGTGTTCTATGTGAACAGAGCACGATGTCTGAGCACTGATCTAGGATTGCCCGGAACATCCTGCTAGTCTTGAACGTATTTACTTTTGTTTGGTTGAAAAGTATTTCATTTATTTCCTAATGTTCTTTGAAATTTGTTCTCTCACACATGTCTCTGCTTATTCTCTAGTGTAAACACTGCCTTGGAGGCATGTATTTAGGACAGAGACTTTATTCAGATTTATGCAACATGCTGTCTGCATAATAGACATAAATCTTCAAGTCACTAAAACAAAACAAATGCCAAGTCTTGCTTTCCTAGGAAATACTCATGCCTTCCTTTCATGTCACAAGCAGGAGTCTGGTATTTGAGGGATCTAGATACTTAAATATGAATAAAATATTATGAAAAGATAATAGCAAATTTATAGTCATTATAATTGTCAGAAACATCTGGGAATAGTGGGAAATTACCATAGCTATTTCTAGCAATAATTCACTGAGGTGAAAATTTGAACAGGAACAAAAGAAGAAAGGTGTGAGATTATTCAGGCATTACAGAGAACCACTCTGTTCTACAGGCAGAAGACTGCAGCCCACAGTTCTTGTTGTTGGAAAACATCCCACCAAATCTGCAGAGCTGAAGGCTATCCATAAGCCTTCCATCTGCTTTGACCATCACACACAGTAGCCTCTGGCCTCATGTGACTCTTGGAATGTAGGCAGTGGAAGAAAGAAACAGATCATTAAACTTTGACTCATCCTAGGAAACTTAAAACAGCCACACGTGCCTACGATGGCTACCATATTGGATACTATAGTTCTGTGATGGAAAGAAACTCACTTTTAAACCATCCCACAAAGCAAGTTACAATGGAGTACTAGAGGAGATATAAAACCAAAGATGTAAGAATTGATGAATATAGTCTGGGAATATATATTAAAGTTTAAAGCAGGATCTAATGTCAAAAGTTCAGAGAGTCTATTGTTGGGAAAATAGGTTTTTTTTTTTCTTCTTTTGTAAACATTCTCTAACTCCTTGTCTCTTCTATAAACTTTGTGAAATGCTCTCGTCTTTTAGGGTTTCTTGACATCTGTCTTTTACCTGGGCTCAGGTGATTCAAACTCAGGCCCTGATGCTCATACATCAAGTGCTTTTCCCCACTGAAGCATCTCTTCAACACCAAGGAAAGACTCTTGAGTAGGCATCTCAGGTAGTGTCCACCCATATTCTACATTCTTTCTCTCAGCTACGGCTGCCTTGAAGGCAAACCCCATATCTTGATATATCAGAGCACACAGGAGTCTGGAGGACAGCAGCCACTCAGTGAAAATTCATTTGCTGCTTGTATCCTTAGCCACCAACTGACCGTTCCCCATAACCTCATCTGCATCTTTATTGCAGGTCCCTTCCTTCCTTC